AAAAAGAAAGAAAAAAAGATTTATAAGCTGTTTTCCTCATGAGGACCAAAAAATGTCCCCACTAGGATAAGGATTTTGGATATTGCCAATTTGCCCGGCGGGTTTAGGTAGGCGTGGTTGTTATCTTTTATAAAGAATATCTCTTTGGATTTGAGACTTTAGTCTTTGCAACTTTACAGATCTTCTTTATGCACCAAGAGCTTGTAACACTCCAAAGAGAAAGGAAAAATTGAAATTGCATCATATGACCCCTTTAAATAATCAGCTTAATGGTTAATAAAATACAGTATTATAATGCAAAGCTGTATAGTAAAATATTGCATCTTGCCAAAGTCAAAAGCACATCAAAGTGCGCATGAGAGATGGACTGAGTGATATAGAGAGAGAGACTGAGCAGTGTCTGTAAACCCAATATCCTCTGTGGCCCCAGGGGCTGGGAGTGCACGGCCAGTGCAGGAAGAGATGGGCTGCATTATCCACATCAAAGCTCTGAATTATCAGCCATAATCAATGCCTTTGCATTACTGCATCTGCTCTCCCACTGCACTGTACAGCACAGCAGGGCCGTGGGATCATCCGGAGAGAGAGAGAGAGCTAGCAAACAAGTGAAGGGGGAAACGTCATTAGTCTGGGGTGATGTCTGTTCTTAAAGTCTTTGTAGGTGCTGTGGGACAGCAGGCACTGGTGGTGTTTAGCGCCTCGCTGATGGGTGTGGGCTGATTTTTTGAAGAGGTTCTGCCAATTTTGAGCTAAAGATCCAATTTGATTTGATCTCTGATTATGTCATGGTTATCTGTTACTGCATCTCATCTTTGTAAATGGTGCAGTATGGTGCAAGCACTTATACGTTTTATTTTATAGACCTCTGGTGATATTATATTTAACAAATTATGTTTTTGAATTCCGACGTAACTACGGTAGGCCTATGCACATTGCCTAAATAACTAAATAATAACAAAAAATTATGAAAGGTCATTGCCGTTGTTTGCATTTTGAAATTAACTTTCAGGATTATCGTAAGTGGCATTTAGAGGAAAATACTTTCATTTACTCCATTTTATGATATGAATGAATCAAAATGGTAGTCAAGCCCTTTCAGATATAATGACCTCATTGTGCAGATGGAGGGGAAGTTTAATCGCTGTCCTGTGCAGGGTTGCCAGGTTTTCACAACAAAACACGCCCAATCATGTTTCGAGGGGGGTCCCCCAGTAAATAAGAGAGAGAGACTGAGCAGTGTCTGTAAACCCAATATCCTCTGTGGCCCCAGGGGCTGGGAGTGCACGGCCAGTGCAGGAAGAGATGGGCTGCATTATCCACATCAAAGCTCTGAATTATCAGCCATAATCAATGCCTTTGCATTACTGCATCTGCTCTCCCACTGCACTGTACAGCACAGCAGGGCCGTGGGATCATCCGGAGAGAGAGAGAGAGCTAGCAAACGAGTGAAGGGGGAAACGTCATTAGTCTGGGGTGATGTCTGTTCTTAAAGTCTTTGTAGGTGCTGTGGGACAGCAGGCACTGGTGGTGTTTAGCGCCTCGCTGATGGGTGTGGGCTGATTTTTTGAAGAGGTTCTGCCAATTTTGAGCTAAAGATCCAATTTGATTTGATCTCTGGTTATGTCATGGTTATCTGTTACTGCATCTCATCTTTGTAAATGGTGCAGTATGGTGCAAGCACTCATATACGTTTTATTTTATAGACCTCTGGTGATATTATATTTAACAAATTATGTTTTTGAATTCCGACGTAACTACGGTAGGCCTATGCACATTGCCTAAATAACTAAATAATAACAAAAAATTATGAAAGGTCATTGCCGTTGTTTGCATTTTGAAATTAACTTTCAGGATTATCGTAAGTGGCATTTAGAGGAAAATACTTTCATTTACTCCATTTTATGATATGAATGAATCAAAATGGTAGTCAAGCCCTTTCAGATATAATGACCTCATTGTGCAGATGGAGGGGAAGTTTAATCGCTGTCCTGTGCAGGGTTGCCAGGTTTTCACAACAAAACACGCCCAATCATGTTTCGAGGGGGGTCCCCCAGTAAATACAGTGTTCTGGGGAGTAAAAAACACGTTTTTTGGTGGGGTTCCCCAGTAAAATGTGCATTTCAGGGGCTAAATAACATGTTTTTAGGGTCGCTTCAACCCGCGGCAACAGTGTTAAAGTCCTTCAACCCGCGGACTTGGCAACACTCTCCTGTGATAGAAAGGAAAAGTTATTGTTTAGCGCCCTCTGGTGACTAGACTAGCTATTTCTTGACTCTATCTTTTACTTTTTATGCAATTCATTCCAAGGATATTCTCGTAAATTTTTCGATTCTTGAAACTAAATTAACTGAAATAAAATAAAATATAGAAAAACTTTTATTTAAGCTCATTTAATAGAGTGAATAAATTCATTAATACTATTTAGACATAAAAAATGAACAAGTAAAATTAAAGTAAAAACTAAATATAAAAATAGAATCAAATTCAAAATATTAAAAGATATAATAGTATACAAATAATACTAAAATAACACTAATTCTATACAAAAATGAACTATTATTGCAATGTGTAAAAAACTCCAAAATAAAACTCCAATCCAAATACAATTAGGAAACAAAGCAGAGTACTTTGGAGTTCAATGTACAGGAGAAATAAATAAACACCCTCATATGTCAAGAGGTCAAAAAATTCTTTATTTCAAGCACAAACAGTTACAAGATGTAAAGTTACATCCACAAAAGAGATAAATGCTGCAGATGGAACATTCTAATTGTAAAGTTTAAGAATTTAAAGGGGCACTCCAACATTTCAATAGATAAGATGCATTTAGTCAGGATATCACACATCAAACATCATTTTCTTTGAACACAGCATTGTTATAGAGTTCTAAGAGAAGAATTTCTTTAGTCACATCAAGACAGTTAAAAAATGTCTAGATATCCAAGCTACCTGCTACAATCTACCGCTTGATGACATCACAAACCACTCTCAAGTCTTGCACACCACTAACAATCGCACAGAAATAAAGGTAAACCTAAAATCCTCCACACTCAAACATAGCAAGTGTCAGAGTCTTATGAAGGATAATATAGTGGAAAAACCACTTGATTCATGCAGATATTGTAGAAACATTCAATGTACCATGACAAAAACATCCCAGCAGTTTCAGACTATAAAAACAGAAATGTTTATGGAGGCCCTATAGCTGCCAGTGTCTACTGAGCAGAGTTTTTCTGATTGTTAATTTTGTTTAAAAAACAAAAAAACCTGTCTTCTAACCAGTGTTGGGAAAAGTTACTTTTAAAAGTAATGCATTACAATATTGCGTTACTCCATAAAAAGTAACTAATTACGCTACTTAGTTACTTTTTATGGAAAGTAATGCGTTACGTTACTTTTGCGTTACTTTTTAAATCTGGACAGGACTTGCTTGTTTGTTTTTAAAATAAAAAAAGTTCTATTTTTGGCAAATATAAAAGCCTTTTCACACCAAAAGTGAAATGAATAAGCCTCAGGCTGAAGGGAAAGTAAATTTACGTCCGTACAGTAGAATGCAGAAGAAGAAATTTCAACACACTTCAGCAATAAATAAAAAAAGACACACAAATGTTTGTCTAGAGTAATTTGTGCTTATTAGTACGGTTGAACTGGATCATCGAAGGTCAGAAGCAAAGACATTGGTTAATAGAATGGGATTAAATACATAAAGGATATTTGTGTTGTTTAACATTTAATTATTGCAGGTTTCCGTCATATTCTGAGTTGCATTATTTTTATTCATTTGGAGGAATACTGAATCTGTGTTTTGTTTTTTTGTGAGTGAGATGAATTAATGCATATTCATATTTATTTTAGAACTACAGTAACATCTGATTTCTCTCAACATGGGGACAGGAGAGCGGTCAATCAATAAATTGGGAAAAAAATGTAACTCAGATATTCTCTTGTAAATTAAAAAGTAATGCGTTACTTTACTAGTTACTTGAAAAAAGTAATCTGATTATGTAACTTGCTTTACTTGTAATGCGTTACCACCAACACTGCTTCTAACCAATGTTTAAATATAGGACAAAATTGACCATTTGACAGATTTAATTTTCCATACTGTATAGCTGTGAGAATTTATAGATGGCTTACAGCAATCTCTGTTACCCCATGTGCTATCAACCACTTTAAAGCAGTAAAACCCCTCACCAGATTACATTACATATTAGTGGGTCTACCAAAGTATCAGCTAGACCAATAAATAAGCAGATATTTAGGCCGATTACTGTGTTGGCATCTCCTTGTGTCAGTTACAACATCTCACAGCTTTGTAAACAGATAATGTGATTATTATTATTTTCTTTCTTATTTTTGTGTTTGTCTTTTCTACAGTTTATGTATACACTACTGTTTAAAAGTCTGGGATCAGTTCTTTTTATTATTATTATTTTAAATGAATACTTTTATTCAGCAAAGATGCATTAAATTGATCAAAAGTGACAGTAAAACTTTGCTACAAAAATGTATATTTCAAATAAATGCTGTTCTTTAAATCGTTTTATTTATTAAAAATTGTCAAAAAAGTAAAAAGGTTTTGCAGCACAACTTTTTTTCAGCATTGATGATTATTGATATTGAGAAACAAATCAGAAGACTAGAGTAATGATGCTGAAAATTCAGCTTTGCCATCACATATATAAATACAATTTTATAATATATTAAAATAGAAAACAGTTATTTTAAATCATAATAATATTTCACAATTTTTCTGTTTTTACTGTATGATCAAATAAACTTTCAAAAACTTTTACAGACTTTTCTATTTCTATATAGTGGATCATCCTGCTCTCTGGATATCTGCATGGGCCATTCAATAACATGCATCGGCCGACCACTATAACATATATGCATCATTTTCTACATAAAGCATCACCTCTGTCACAAGACAATAAAAAAACGATTGCATAATTAATATACCCAAATGAATAAGAAAACCAACAAAACCAGCAATCACCTTTTACATTACTGACAATGCTCAACTTTTATTCCAGTCAAGGCATATGATACTTGCAAATAATTTCTCTCCAAATATTTACATGCTTACAGTAGTGTTGACAGGAGGCTACTAAAGGTTGTGGTGCATCATATGAAGAGATGACTCAAAAATATAAAAATAACTATCAGTAGTCACAAGGTATTATAATAAACACGATGCTTCTGAAAGATTTTGTGTCAACTGTCATTAAATGCTGTTTTAGTTCTTACTTCATATGGCATTATCCAATTCCAAAGCATGGAAACTAAAAAGTCAGCGCCACCATCACCGATAGGAGCCACTGGAAAGAGGGCGGCATGCAGGGAGAGAGGGAGGGGGAAAACGGGGAGGCCTCTAAATCTTCTTCCTGTTCATTCCTGTCAGAAAGAAAGAGTTCTTTATGGATGGGAGGAATTCACTAGACAACTTATTCTTATTCACTGACCAATTGATAACTATCTTATCTAATTCTGGGGCTTCCCCCCGTAAGCGTTTATTATAGCTTGAGAATGCTTGTCAGATTTCATGATTTGTTTTGTATAGTAGTATGAATGATAAAATGTTGCTGGCAAACTTCTCTGACTTTCTTTGTAGTAAACCTTGAATTCCAGCCCAGTCTGTCCTCATTCTGATGCGAATATGTGGAAACTCAGTGGATACAGACGCGCTGGCTTCCTTCCCAGAAAGTACACCCAGCAATGAGACTTTGAAAAATTGGTTCATCCATTCTGAAAATATGACTACGAGATTTGTCAACTCAACACGTTTTGTAAACTGCCGGTGTCAATGGACAACCCGATCTCGTGAAAATGCGTATAAATAGTACGCCAAATAAAAACGAAAACTCATGGTATTGATACGCAAAAATGGACTTTACGCGATGGGTAGGTTTAGGGTTGTGGGGTAGATACGTATCATATGCACGCGAAAACTGCGTATTATATGCACGTCAAACACATGCGGATCATATGCACACCAAAGTCCATTTTTGCGTATCAATACCACGAGTTTTCGTTTTTATTTGGCATACTATTTATACGCATTTTCATGAGACCCAATGGCTCCAATGGAAACATTCACTGGGCTATAGAGCAGTACTGCTGAAACTTACAGCACATGTTGCAGTTAACGTTTAAAACTAGTGCAAGATCACAGCACCTCTGTTTTCAGTGGTCTTTGTTGTGTTTATGGCAAGACAATTCTTCGTTTAAGCAGCAATGTGATTAAATATGCATTCTGCTATATTGCATCAGTTTGTTTTTCCATCGTTTATTGTGTGTAAAATAATGAGGTCACTGGCAAAACTTCGTTTGTGACCAGTTCAGTGACATCATAAGTTGGGCTCAGAATGACAGCCTCATTCATTTATGCTCAAGTAGAATTTAGCATGGGCCCTCTACACCAGGGAGCGATCTATTATTAACTACTGAACAGTGTACTTCAGTGTTCTGTTCCCAGACAAACACATGCTTAAGATAAATGCTTCGGACAAGGTGTGAAATGATGGAAATCATGTGAAACTTCTAGTGCAACTACAGCAAACAGTTTCTTCATACCATTTTGTTTCTTTTTCAGGAAATATACATGTACCACTGAGAACTGAAAACTGTAGCCCAAGGTCAATGATTATTATACACTACGTAGGACTATTGCAGACAGAAACAATACTGTACTACATCGATGTTTCCTGTCGGCTCAATTTTTGAGTGGACTTTGCTGTCCGATTCGCATGAACGGTATACGAGTGGAGCGAGTGGAGCGACTGAGCGGAGCACACACACACATAGAGCGGGTTAATACACAGAGCGTCACACCACGTGAAAGTGAAACCTGAGCGGTGAACTCATTTTCGGCAGCCGAAATTTCGGTGCATCTCTAATTATTGGCGACATCAGAAATGGATATTATATAATAGATGCTTTTTTGAACATTTTAGCAATTTAAAAATATAAAAAAATTATTTTTTTACACGGCACCCCGGTTGGGAAACACTGCACTACAGTATAAAAAAATGTAGAGGTCAGTATGATTTTTTTTTTTTAAATCAATTATGCACACCATGACTACATACATCCATCCATCCATCCATCTAAATGGCTCCATTTTCAGTTGCCATTAATCCACTCTTCAGTATCAGGATCCTTTACAAATTATTCTAATATGCTGATTTGACTCGAGATACTTTTCTTCTTATTAGAAGAAGTTAAAATGATTGTGCAGCAAAAATGTTCAAACGAACAGCATTTTAAATAAAAAATCTTTTGTAACATTATAAATGTCTTGAATTTAATGCATCCTTGCTGAATAAAGTATCAATTTCTTATAATATTAGTATGTAATATTACTGTGTATATATATATATATATATATAACAAATTCAGACTTTAGTTTTATTAGACCATTTGTGGTAAATGTTTTGGGTTACAGTACCTTTAAGACTTCTATGTAAATGCCCTCCTTTTCTAAAAGCTTTTATTTCAAAACATCATAAAACATTTCTACCCTGCACCTAGAGAAATGTGTCCCTTTCCAAACAATTTAAAGTCTTACAGTCTAGATGACTCGTGAGGTGACCCCCGTACTCTCGATGACGACAGTCCTGTCCTCTTTAATGGGTGGTGTGTACTGGTAATCGTCACTCAGCAGACCCAGAATAGGGTACTGGTTCATGTATCTGTTCATGATAAGAAAAAGTTTACAATGACGATTAGGACCGAATTGCAGTTTAGATTCTACATGGTTCTTATATGCAATAAACACACACACACACACACCTCTTGGTAACGACAGTCCTCGTTGTACTGCTGGAGTTGGAGTCGACCTTCTGCTGTTTGAGTCGCCTGATATCCTGAAAATGCAAGGTCAAAGGTCAGAATGAAGTACTCCAGTAGGAAAGAAGAGAGGTATCTGTTCAAATTGTACAATGAATTCACATTCCTCAAAAGTAATGAGGCTGAGGTAATGCAGAGACTGAAAAAAACTAAAGAATGTGAACTATGATCCCAAGTGCCGCTCCTTATAATGAGAACTACGTCCTCATTCACTTGACTTGTTCAGAAACAGACTTCATGTTGTTTTCCTTAAAGTGCCCCTATTATGGATTTTTGAACATTACCTTTCATGTTGTTGGTCTTTTCGCGTTGGTCTGAATGAAAATGCAAATTCATTCTGTGCCACTAGGTACCGCTTTTGAAGTGGTAAAAATAGCGGTTTCCCCGGTAACGCTGTACACAAAGCAGCACTGCGCTCACAAACGCTTCTTTATCAGGCATTTACAGGCATGATGAAATGAAAATGAGACCAATTGGACCAATCACCGCAGATTAGCGTCATGCAAAGGAGGGGTTTGGAAAAAGGAATCGTTAAACGAATTGTTTGGGAGTCGTTGAGCAAATAAGGTAAAAATAAATGCATATTATAAGACAATGAAAGTGTTTTTTGACCTTGCATGCATGTCAACCTGTTGTTGGGGACTCCCAAAACCAAAATATGAGCCTTTCATAACCTATAATAGGGGCACTTTAAACATGTCAGTATGGTCTGCTTAAATAATATTATTAAATATCTACTTTTACAACAACAAAAAATAGTGTACATAACAAATGACTGAATTAATCTTTAACCTCAGTTAAATCTAGGTTTATTTACTAATTTAGCTGCACAAAACTTTAAAACCTGGTTTAAAAAAAAATCACTTTATATGGTCATTTTTTCCTAGTTCCCAGGTTTTACAGTAAACCTTGATTAATTGTAATCCTGTTGCTCCATAATTTAAAAGTCAGGGTTAAGTCAGGGTTTAAATGAGGCATTTCCAGAATGTCAGACAGCATATGTTACATAGCATGACAGAAATTAAAGGTTCAAAAAAGGCAACGACTCAACACATTGAGCTTTATGTTTTTCCAGCAGGCTTCCAAGCTGTCAAATTTTGGTTACTGATGACGGCCATAACTCAAGGAAACATTGGGTCGCATCACATGGCAGAACTGATGACAATTGCATTGCGTGCTTGTTAAAAACAGCACTGACAAAGCATCTTATGTCTGTATAATAGTGTTGACGTACCTCCTCCTGATGTCTGATGACACTTTCACGCTGTTCTAGTTTGGACAGAAGCTCAGTGATACGTATCTCCAAACCGCTGTCAGAGGTCTGTGTAATGGTGCGCTCGGTCTGGATCTTTACAAGCTGAGTCTAGAAAAGAATAAATAAATACATGCTATATGTATTGAATGTAATATATAATTTAATTTTATATGTATTGGCTCTACAATACCGTTCACAAGTTTGGTTTCAGTTTGATTTTTTAATTATTTTAAGAAATTATTAGTTTTATTTAACAAGGATGCATTCAATTGATAGTAAGTGACAGTAAAAACTTTTAAAATGTCACAAACAATTTCTATTTTTTTCTTCTTTTTTTCTAAATGCTGTTTTTAAACTTTCAATTCATCAAAGTATCCTAAAATCCTGACACAATGTTTCAAGGTTTTCACAACAATATTAAGCAGCACAACTGTTTTTAACACTGATAATAATAAGAAATATTTCTTGAGCACCAAATCAGCATATTTGTGAACCTGGACCACAAAACCAGTCATAAGTAGCACAGGTATATTTGTAGCAAAAGCCAAAAATACATTGTATGGGTCAAAATTTAAATAAAAATGTTTATGGCAAAAATCATTAGGATATTAAGTAAAGATCATGTTCCATGAAGATATTTTGTAAATTTCCTACCGTAAATATATCGTAATGATTAGTAATATGCATTGCTAAGAACTTCATTTGGACAATTTTGAAGGCGATTTTCTCAATATTTTGATTTTTTTTGCACCATCAGATTCCAGATTTTCAAATAGTTGTATCTCAGCCAAATATTGTCCTATCCTAACAAACCATACATCAGTGGAAAGCTTATTTATTCCGCTTTCATGTGATGTATAAATGTAAATGTAAATTGTAAAATGTAAAAATATTGACCCTTATTACTGGTTTTGTGGTCCATGGTCATATTTCTTAAGGATCATGTGACACTGAAGACTGGAGTAAAGACTGCTGAAAATTCAGATTTGGCATCACAGGAATAAAATAGATTTAAAAATATATTCAAATAGAAAACGGTAATTTTCAATGGTAATAATATTTTACATTATTACAGTTTTTACTGTGATGTTAATCAATGCAGTCTTGGTGAGCATAAGAAACTTCTTTCAAAAACATTCCAAAAATCTTACCAACCCCAAACATTAGAACGGTAGTGCATATGACACTAAATTGTTTGGCAACCATACACAGCCTACAATTTGGACACATAACTATATTACTGAACTATATTTGAGTCAGTTTACATTTGAGTCGTTATCATATTGAACTTGATGCCATTTTATAAAAGTGATAAGCAACTTGAGGCTCACCATTATACCAACTTTACCATGGTTAAGTGGGTTTTAGCCAAAAAAAGTTTGGGTTTTTCTCATTTACTTATTATTTATTTACCCGCAGGTTCTTGAGTTCTCTGTCCTTCTCCTCTCGTAGATCGTTCAGCATCTGTTCATACTCTCTGGACAGCTCCTGTGTTTTGATTTGGACGGTGGAACTACTGCACTGCCCTGCCAACTGTGGAAGAGATACCCATAAATCCACACGAAACATTAAAAGGAAGACATCGAGGGAAGACAAAAATAAGACCTTAGAATTTACACAAGATACAAGACTGCTAATTATCGCTGTATTTGACAACAATAAATACTGAAACATAAAATTATGACATCACAAAGTTTTATCTGAGCTGTGAGTTTGCATTGTGAATTGAATGTGCTGAGTTTAAATGTGCATGAACCATCTGCGTTGCCTTTGCTGCACACTTCACTGCACACAAACATGCAGTGTGACCAGTGTAGTCAGCTTTATGAACGATTGATTATGTGTCAGTTCTTTTAATGAAAAGTTTAGTGAAACAGGCCAACAGAGCAGTGATGGATGTGATTCAATGAACCATCAATTTAAAGGGATAGTTCACCCACAAATTAAAATTCTGTCATTAAGTACTCACCCTCATGTCGTTCTAAACCTGTAACATCTTCGGAACACAAATTAAGATATCTTTGATGAATTCTGAGCGCTCTCTGACCCTCCCATAGACAGCAATGTAATTACCACAATCAAGGTCCAGAAACGTAGCAAGGAGATCGGTAAAATAATCCATGTGACATCAGGGGTTCAACCATAATTTTACGAAGCTACGAGAATACTTTTTGTATGCAAAGAAAACAAAAATTATTTGTCGACTTTATTCAACAATTTGTCTCCTCCGCGTCACCCTGGTGCCATGTTGGAGTGTATCCACTGAACGTAAACAGCGTATGCTGTTCTGTGTCAGCTGTGCCATGCGGATACATTTTCTACGTTGTTTATGCTTTGATTTGAACGAAAACAACGTATCCGCGTGACGCAGCTGACACAGACTGGCTGACCCCAAAATGGCACCAGGGTGACGCGGAGGAGACTAATTGTTGAATAAAGTCGTTATTTTTGTTTTCTTTGCATACAAAAAGTATTCTCGTAGCTTCGTAAAATTACGGTTGAACCCCCCACATGGATTCCACCGATCTCCTTGCTATGTTTCTGGACCTTGATCGTGGTAATTACAGTGAGCTCTCAGAATTCATCAAAAATATCTTAATTTGTGTTCCGAAGATGAACGAAGGTCTTACAGGTTTAGAACGACATGAGGGTGAGTAATTTGACAGAATTTTCATTTTTGGGTGAACTAACCCTTTAATTGATCTGTCTGGAAATGAACCGAGAACTGTATTGTAAGTTGTGTCATGTGTATAACAAAGTTGTTGTTTTTTTAAATAATTGTTCATGTAACAACACATAGGCTTAATTAAATTTACATGTTCACAACAAGTTTCTGTAATAAGTAGTATTTAAATAATAAAAAGTTTTTAAAAATTATTATTATGCTGCAAGTGTGTATATTTCTAAAGTAAATATTTGCATTCGCACAAGTGATTCATTTTGGTCACTTACTGAACGCATGCAATTAAAATACAGAATAAATCATAAAAACTGAGTTTATTTCGCCCACCTTCTTCCTGAGCAGCTCGTTCTCCTGCTCCAGGGCTCTTTTGCTGCCCTCCAATTCTTTAATGCGGAAGTCTTTGCTGGGGTCTTTGCTCTGCATAGTCAGTAGCTGACTTTCTAGAGTACGCTGAGCATTATTACTTTCCTTCACAGCAGCCTGAGAGAAAGAAGGGTGCGAAGATCAGAGATGGATCTACATTTATCATATAATGTCATCATGATTATATGAGTGTTATTGATGTTGGATTTTTTGCAGAAGCGATGAAGGGTGATTAAGGGAAGTTTAGTGGTGGCGCCCCCTACCTGCAGCTGTCTGTTGTGCTCACGAATGGTCTCCAGTAGTCTGTCGTATTGCAGAGCCTGATCCGCCTTGAAGCTCAGATCTCTCTCCAGCTCCTCCTTCTCGCTCTCCAGATGCTGCACAATAAAACACACACACAATAAATCCAAATGCAACCAACCATATAACTGTGCATGGTTAGTGTAATAAAAATAGGCTTTCGGGTTTTCAAAAGGGAGAAACGCTTTCCATACTTTAAGTTAAAGGCAGCACAGAAACTGATGTAGTAGCTGTAGTCTTCAGTAGCTGTTGGTCACACCATGTTGGCTTACTGACTGAAAAGATGTGCATGTATTTGCAGTGACCCAATGATGGTTTATGTTTAACTGAGCAGAAGCTTCAGTCAAACAGGAAATTAAAGCTTTGGAAGAGTTACCCCTTGCTGTACCAACAAAGCTTTTTGTGATATACTTGTGACATTTCACAATAATCTGAATTTGTACTTGCAAAAACAACATGCATATTACTATAGTTGACATATGAAGTCTTGTAACTTCCCATGTATTAAAGAAAACATTCTGTATAAATTACTTTGATAAAAATAGTTTTATTTGCAACAAAATGAAGCTAACGTAATATTGAAGGGCTGTTTTGTAGCGGTTACATCATAGCCTTGAATCTGTTTATACATCCATCACACCTTGAAAAAGACAAGGTCAGGGTTGTACAACAAATGCACGCCCACGGGGCAGAACCTGATATACTTCATCACCATACAGTGGAAAATGGGGACTGTTTCTACAGGACAGGAGGCTGTTGGTTGGGTTAGTGGTAGAATGATTGTACTCACCCTCAGATCATCCTGCATATGCACTAGCTCCTCTCGCAGACTGCTGAATGTGGCCATCAACAGACGCATGGTCTTATCAGCCGTCATACGAGTCTACATGAGAGAAAGAAGAGAACATTTTTTATAACATAACATATAACATAACATAATCCTTTTTAATCAATAAAAAAAAAACATAAATCATTTACATTATTTGCTGAACATTTATTCACAACTAATCATACATACATAAATCTATATATTTTTTTTTTTTTGAGGAGAGCTCTTTACTGAACTTAGGGGTCATTCAAAAAAACACAAAACAAATGACAGCAATTAATCTAATCTAACTAACTCAAAGTTGAATGTGTCACACATCTATAATGTTAAACAACTTTTTAAAAACTATCTGTGGGTATCTATTTTTATTGTACTCCTATTTCCGTTGTGCCTGGAGGAACATGTGTCCTGGGACAGGCTCATAAATGAATGATCTACTGCTGTCAGGAGAGGCATCTGAGGGTGGGGTGTACTGAGAGGTGGGTGGGGCTGAGAGGAAGTGGGCAAGGCAGACATTCATAATGTGTCCATAAGCTCTCACCTGCAGCAGGTAGCGGATTTGCTGCTTAGTCAGTTCGGACACTCCTTTAGGAATGACACTCTCTATTTCTTCTTTTTCCACCTGCACACACACACACATACAGACAGATATATGTGTTTAACAACTTCAGTGTAAAAAGGTTAACAACTTAATAATATTTAAAAAACAATATAATAGTTAAAAAATGTTTATGCACTACATACTAAATAAGCTTTTCTTTTCAAGAATTACATTTAAATGATTCTTCTTTCTTTATTATGATATCAGGACAATTCTATCAACTTAATATGTTTTTACTTTATGCCCCAACAAAAATATGAAAATGAAATTAATGAAATTTAAAAACATTTTAATTATAGTGAAGGTGCACTGAAGTTACTGTGACCATGAACAGCATTTAAATTTTTTTTTTGTAACAAATGTCAAAAAATGCAAAAGTGATATTAATGTCATTGACTCAGTTTCATTGCTAATGATAACATTAAGGTTTAGAATTAACCAACTGAAACTTGAAATCCTTTATGCAACATTGAAAACGTTCAGCCAACTCCACAGAAGCTGAACAATTTGCCACTCCCTACCTTGTAGTCAATGGTGGGGTCCAGAAGGGGTTTCCTGCAGAGACAAAGAACAATATGAATGAGTCAAAAAAAAAAAAAAAGAGCCTTAAAGCAGAGGCATCCAGAGGTGTTGCTGTTCTCACAATCATTTCCAACGTGTAAAGTACAGAACCTCTTAACTCGCCATTAATCGCTGGATTAAGCATTGCAATTTTGGTTTTCTCAACATGTGTCAAGTCTTCAATGATTTAGGCTACGTCCACAGAAAGCCAGAGCTTTCCCTATCCGATCTTTTTTTCACCCTCGTCTCAAGAAATATCTGCGTCCACACGAAACCACAAAACCGACACAAAACGATGTAGTATACATGCCAGACCAGCATGTGGCGCTGTAATTCTGCCACAGAGATACACTAAAAACGGAGAAGAAGACTTGGACTATGCGCATAAACCTTGCGCGCGGTATACAAACGAACATGGAACAATACATTTATTAATCTGTGTTAATGTTAGTTAATAAAAAGACAATCGTTCAGTGTTTGTTCATGTTTTTGTTGCTGTTACGTGACGTAGCGGTGTCTAACTAGGGGCGAGACGTGGGCTGATGACGTCATCGTTTCAGAAAATATACGGATTCGCTGTCCACACGAAAACGCAAGGGCGGCGTTTTCAGATTTATCCACTCTTGGGACCCGGTTTAAAAAAATATCGGTTTCACTTTCCCAAAACGCCGGATCCGTGTGGACGAAACGCCTATACGATACAAAATTTATGCGTATACAGCTAAACGCGTCTCCGTGTGGATGGGGCCTTAGATTGGTTGGTAAGGGTTATCTGCATGCAAATCTTCAACTTGAATTTTCCATTAAAATTTTTTTGGAACAAATTTTCCATTTGAAATTCGTTAAGAATGGAACATGCAATTTGCACAGCACAACTACATCTAAATTGTAATTTAATAGGGGTTGGAATCTTTAGTCACCTCATGATCCGATTCCGATTCTGGGAGTCACGATCCGATTCCAGA